TATTGACCTGTCCAGGATGTACCCTTTCACTGGTGATCCTGAATAGGTCAAGCAGGAAACAATAAATGGATGGATTGTTTTCGAGTGTTATTCAACACAAACTCATTAGTGCGATTGTCGTCGTACCCATAAACATGTCCTCCATTGTTTGTCCACTTTTTACTTGGTGTGTTTATGCCGTGTTTGTGATAAGGTAGCACATTCTCAAAGCCGTTTGGCTCCTGTATAGCTGTACAGATTCTACCCTATTCCGCAAACTCAACTCAACTGCCTTAATAGAGCATTTTAAAATAACCACTGCTGTATACAAAGTGCTGTACATAAAGCAAAAAAAATTCATACAGCAACAAACAATAAAACAATCAATGAATAAAGAAAGTAGAAACCACAAAAATGGTAAAACTAAAAATCAAGTCTCAAGCTGAGTCAAAAGCCAAAGAATAAAAATGCGTTTTACAACGTGTTTTAAAGATGGACAGTGAAGGGGCTCGCCTAACCTTCAGCGGGAGGTCTTTCCAAAGACAGGGACCAGCAATGGAAAAGGCTCGATCCCCTCTGAGCCTCTGCTTAGTTCTCAGCACCTCTAATAGTATCTGGTCCGCAGACCTGAGACATCGGATAGGTGCGTTGGGGTGGAGGAGCTCAGAGAGGTAAGGTGTGGCGAGGCCACTTATAGATTTGAAAACAAATAATAGGCTCTTAAAAAGAACTCTAGAATGTGAATGCATGCCAGAGTATGAGTTATGTGCTCTCTCTTACGAGTACCAGTCAAGAGGCGAGCAGCTGGAGACACTTGATGGAGGATTGGCTGACTCCAAAGCAATGTGCATCACAGTAATCCAGTCGAGATGTGACAAAGGCATGAATTACTGTTTCAAAGTGCTCTTGAGAAAGGAGAGGCTTTACTTTAGCAAGATGCCTCAGCTGGATTTAACAACGGCACCAATTTGCCGTTCCAATTTAAAATCACTCCCAGTTTGAGACTCAAGTTTGAGTCTCAAGATAGTTTGAGTTTGGCTTAAGATAAGGACCCAGGGAGCCCAAGTCTTCAGGATGGGATGTACAAGGCCACTGGGACGAAACAACATCACTTCAGTCTTCTTTACATTGAAATTCAAGAAATTTAGTGCCATCCAGGTCTTGATTTCCTCTACACAGGATAAAAGTGGCCTCAATGAGGGAGTGTCTTTTTTGCCCAGCTGGACATAGATCTGACAGTCATCTGCATAGCAGTGGACGGAAATACCATGTTTCCTTAAAATGGAACCCAAAGGGAGCAGATACAGTGAGAATGGCAGAGGCCCCAAAATTGAACCCTGTGGAACACCACGCGACAGTGGGGCAGTTCGTGACTCAGAGCAACCAAGGTTCATACAAAAAGTTCTGTCAGCCAAAAAGGACCTAAACCACTCAAGCATCCTACCGCCGATGGTCGAGGGCACGGAGGAAGAATTTCCACCTCCCAGCGCAAAGGCTTTCTGCTAGTGTGAAAGGCAACAAGGCGAAAAATAAGATTGGCTTTTGGGCTCACACTATCACAGTTCAAAACAACCCCAAAGTGAGAAAAGTTGTGTTTGCTGTAATGTCTGATTTTGTGGGTCTGATCAATGATGTCATTCATAGATTATGAAAATTCTGACATTACAGTTGATGAGATTTTGCATAGAGCGCAAAATGGTGACCGATTTTGATCACTCAATCAGATCCGCCTTTTAGACGGATCTGATACTAGTTATTATTCCTTTTGTTCTAGTAAAAAAAAATCATGTACTTAGGTAGCACTGATTATATATTTATCCTCCTTGTTTATCAATTGAAATTTATGAGACAGAACATGTGATTGATACATTATGAAATCACCACAGAAAGATACTTGTGTGTTTACATCTTGATTCTCCATTTCACTTTAAGCTACATTAAGGAGCATATGGATACAAATATAAATATTCAATCCATGGATTTTTACATTTTCTGGTTTCAATATACTCTGTCCAGAATTGTTTTCCTAGCAGCTATTTCAATATGCTATTTGTACTCAGTAACATTGGTAATTGATGTTTAACTTCAAGCCAAAACCCTTTCCAGGCTGAGTTTAAAGCCTTTACATCAAATCTATGCTCCGTATGCAGGAAAATGTGCTGTCCCGACAGGCCCAAGCACTTGGACCATCTTCGCCAAGTGGCTTTTATGTCAGGATCTATGTTAACGTGGGAAAAGGGCCAATCAGGCTAATCCAGCACTGTAACATACAGGGAAAATACATATAATACACTGGGGTTGAAATAAGCGGTTATGCATTGCACTTTGCCAGTCAAAATTCACATTTTGCCCTCATTAAAATGTACTAAATAGCAACATAGAGAGTCAAAAATGTGTAACCTTTTCCGATCTATGGAGACAGTCCCAATAAGATCCACTGGGCTAGACTCACATGTGTTGATGTCAACCACGCATGGGAAGTAGAAGGCAGAAGCAAATGTTCAGTGTGGCACTGTGTCAGGCCATCAGGTCGTTGCAGATGCTGGCCCGACTGGACGAGAAAAAAATTAATAAATAAAAATGAAGAAATCAACAAACTCTTGTTTAAAAAAAGAACAACGATGATATGTCCATGACGAACAGTTACCCATGCTTGCTGCTCTCCGTTGTTTGGTGTATTATCGAGTCAAGCTCGGTGCTACTCAGGCCACACCAGCTCAGGAGAAAGGAGCTTCAACTACCTAGCTAGTGTGTCTAAATACGTTACGGAGTCACTCCCAAGTCAGTAATTGCCTCCATTACAGCAAATAAGCTACACTTCTGACAAGTATCACTCTCACGAAGGGATGACGAGACTTCAAGTAAACAGAAGACAGAGAAGCCCTGCTAATTGTGAAGGTAAAATTAACATGTGAAACACCGGAATTAAGTGCTTAAATGAAATTTTCACAGAGGTCTGGTTGGAACTGCATTAAAGCAAAGCGTATCCAACTTTGCACAGAAACATAGTAGGCAATATATCCTAATCTATACCACCCGTGACAATAAGGATAGATTTTATCCTTACCAGTTGATTGCATGCTGGGTTTGAAGACCGGGGATGCAAAATGATTTTCAGCAGCACCCAAGTGTGTATTAAAAGCATTACATGTCTCCCTATATCTCTATTACGCCGTTATTGTGTTTGATAAAAGGAAGAAGAGATCACCAAGGCTTCCTTTTTGCATTAACATTTACTGCTTTCCCAAATTTAGATGAGTTTTTAACAAAGCAAGAGAATCAATCAATACGGACATTCACTTTTTGCTTTCCTATTGCAAAAGTGTACAAGCTTCTTTACCAGAAGAGCTTACTTTCATCCATGCTTTGTCTCTTGCTGTGAGCAGGAATAAGTCAGAGTTGATTCAGGCTTGCTTTTGACAGAAAGCTTTTTAGAGGGAGAATGTTTATCGACAGTCAACAAAATGGTTCTGAAGTTATGTGGGATAAAAACGACGGCCCTGCCATCAGACTCTTCTCACACATAGATCCTAGGTGTGGCCCCAGTAATGCCTAGCCTGATCCGCAGGTACAGTGAATGATTCTTTTTCATAGAGGTCTTCTGATTCATTCGTATTCCGACCCATGACCTAATGACGATTTGCCTTGGAAGACCAGGGCCTTGTAGTCCTGGACAACATTGCTCCTGGGACCATGCAGGCGATAATGCTCCTTCACGATAGTAATGTGGTGAGTCACAAACGGGGGGGTCAGACAAGTCTTACAGAACAAATTGTCATCAAACATTAGTGAAAACGAGTAACGTTAGACAGCAATGAGGCACGGCGGCACCGACTGCAGCTGACATTGGGACTTTAAAAATGTGGAGCATGTTGGACTTATTGGAGCAGGACTGATTGTGTCTCAATTATCACGTCTCACACACGCACGCACGCAACATATACAAACAAACTGTAATCACATCATGCATGATTCTTGCAAATGTAGCAAGTTAAAGCTAATTAGAGCTGATAAAGGAATGTGATGTTACTGAGATTGAATAAATGACTATGAGTACCAGTGGTGAAATACTCGATTACCTTGTGGTGATATAAGAATGGGAAAGATTCAAGATTCAGCTGAACAAGTCCAAACATCTTAAGTTCGCGTGATCCTTTCATATCCGCTCCCATCCAGCACAACACTTGAATTGCATATTGCCCCAATTGATGGAAAAAGCCGCTTTAAGTGCATTTGTTGAGATACGCAAGGAGACATGTGACCCAGTTTGAGAAGTATACTTGAACACAATCTGATCCATGGTAAGCTGCTTTTGCTAATATCGAGAAGAGCGATGGATCTGTAAACAAACTGTAATGGGAATGAAAAGAAATATCTACTGTGTTCAAAACTATTTGAGGCTCTAGTTTTTCCAGCACATCAAGCCGTTTTCACTGCGACAACAAAATAATCCACAACGGCACGGCACCTTCATCTTCTGAGAATCATGAAATGTATTAATTCTGTCAGATTTCGGCTTTGCAATATTAACGTCAACTCATCAACAGTACATTCTTTAACAGGGCGCATTAAAGATTGATATTCTTTTCAAGTTAAAAACTCTTTGTGATCCACCGAACATTCACTTCATGCCTGAATGATCACAGTTGGTTTGAAAGGGACATGAGACTTCATATCAATGCAAGAGGGAAAAAAAAAAAAAATCGTTGATCCCCCCGGCCTCACCCACACCTCCTTTTTTACTTTTTCCTCTGCCAAGGCTCTTATTGGCTGTTCCATTTCATGAATTTTCATTCACTGCTAAAGTTCACCCTTCTCTCCAAAGTAGTTTAAATTATATATGTCAGCACAGTAATTTCAGACATGATTATCATTTGCAAATATGCTTCCCCTTACTTACGAACTAGGTGTCTATTTTTAACCATATGAAAATGATTACCGGTAAGTTTCTGTTTTTGCAATTGAAGCAAAGTTGTGTATTCTGGTTTTGTGCTCAACACTGTGTGTTCTCATCCTCCTAGGTCAGTTTTTTTGGGTGAATGGCTCCTCCTTTGGTGGTCCCTGGGTGCTGAGTCCTTGGCTGAGGAGTGGCCCAACTTCCTGCAGCATCGACATGGCCTTGTACCTGAACCCCAAGCAAAGTGGGCAATACACGATATGGCTCATTGAGCGGGACAAGCCACAACTTGCTCTCTTCTCAACTGACACGTTACCTCCTATGACAGGGTAAGTGCTGGTTTTGGGTTGTTGTAAAGATTGTTGTTGGAAAGACTTATCCTCATTAACGGATAAGAGTCACGGAGGTGGCCGGAGTCCAATACATGTCAGATCTAAATTGTGAGGAATTATATGATTTTCGTAGCACGGGACAATGCATACTTTGATGATGGTCTGGATCATGGATCGAAGCAGTTTTCAAAGAATCGACCATTTTACACTAAACTGGTATTCAATGCAGATTCAGTGCTGGATGCTAGTCATATACTTGGAATTGTAGGCAGGACTGCATTATTTATCAGTTTTTTTTACCTTAACCTTCAGCAGACTTGGCAATCGCTACCACTGGAAACACAATGTAAACTGGGGGTTGAATAACTTAAGATTTTTTGTAGACACCGGTACGGTGATGAGAGTCGAGTTGACTTTGACAAATCTGTGACATCACTGATATTTTTTGTACGTCCCTGAATCACTGTGCAAACGTAGAAACACATGCTCACTCACTCATTCTCCGCATCGTGCTTTATTGCACAGGTCCCAACACATTTAAATACCTCCATGGCCTAGCAGACAGTTGTAACGTGTAAAACTCGACCTCTAATTCGGGTAACGACTTTCCCAAACGGCACGACCCTGCCCAATCATTGCATGCTTCCGTCAAGCTTCAGTCCATCGGCGCAGTTACATGGGAGGTGGGACAAGCAGCTGTCAGTCATTTTCACGAAGGCATTACGTTCACGTACATTTGTTTTCTGCCGAGAAAAGGTAAGAAAAAAAAAAAAGACTGTGGACCCGTTCCTGGATAGTGGAGAGAGGGCGGTATATACAATATATTCTCTAAAAAGAACTTGAGGTAACAATTTGTGACTGTGTGCTAATCAGCTACTAGATGTGCAGTCAACAAATGTAGCATGAGATGAACTGCTACATATACTTCCAATATTTCCCCTTCAAGTCACTTTTTAAACACTGTACATCCACGTTGGGATTGTGTGCACCACATCCAGTCTCTCGTCATAAGAGGACACTGTCTTCCTATTGGCCAATTCCAAAGAACCAATCGAAAATTCTGACATGCCAGACTGTCGTGGTCGTGCAACGTCCCAGACACATCATGGCCATGTCACACTGTATGGCTATGATGCGTCAAGACAACACAAAATTGGCTATGAGGCACTATGTTGGTGTGCGACACATCTTTCGGCTCAAAACCAGGCTACATTCGTGTTTTCGAAGATCCGACTGTCTCTGAGACCCAGGAGGTGTCTGTGATTCACGATCAGTTGAGTCAGTCGGGATGTTGGAGCACTGGAAGGAGGAAGAGGATTGTGAGCGTGTGTCTGCTGAGTGATGGATGTTTTGTTGGGTTCACCCTGATCGCATTGACTGCAGTGGCAACGCTTTGAATTTTTTTTCCCAAACTTGTTTGCCAACCCGACTCATGTGTTATCTCACATCCATCCCATTTGTCCATACTACTGTTTCACATCCATCCAAAATCACGCTTAAAAAGCACTTTTTTTCCTCTGAACTTCCCTTGATTTGCTGGGATCCTTTCTTACACTGGCCAACTATTTTTTTTTTTTAAATGAATGATTTCTGCGTAACTAGTTGACAGTTTCGAGTGTCACTTTGTCCTTTGAGCTGTCCCTGCTTCCTTGTGGCATGTCTAAAAAACAGCTGATCAGGTCAAACTAAGGCTCCCCGACCAGGTCAAGGCTTTGAACAAACCTCCCGCCGCCGCCGTTAAAGCAATGTTTTCCTGTTGATGGTGCCATCTCCATGGAGGGACAAACGGGTTTACGTGCATCTTAAGTAATAAAAAAAAAGTTAGGGCGTAAACAAAAACAACGTTATTGCGAACACAACACAAAGATACAGTATGCGAGACAGTCAACAGCGTGACGCGACACAATAAGAGAAGTGCTGGGCAAGGCTACGATGGTGTGCAGCCAATCAGCTCACAGGATGGTTCCACTCGTGCTCACATTGCTCGATGTCGCACCGGAAACCAATCACGCGCCCTGTTTGAGTGGGCATGTACAGTACGGTGCAGGAATATATAGAAAGCCTCTAATTTTTATTTTTTCATTCTTTTTTAATGAACACAGTATTATGGAAAAACCCGCAAATCACTGAAGCCGCAAAACGTGAAGCACGAAGTGGCGAGGGAGTACTGTAATCTATGTTACAAACATTTACAAACATTTTTCCACATCTAGCTAAACATCTATAAAAAAAGAAAAACAAATCTAAATGCGTGTATAATACAGTGTGGTGATTATGGATCATTTTATGTGGAAAAGAAATATTTGTAAAGTCTTATTAATGGGATTTTATAGTTTATATAGAATTGTTCCTCCTCCCCCCCAAAACATGTCATGAACACAGCACTATTTGATCTGACTTTTAAATTATTATATGAGAAACGTATATTTTATTACAAGATAGATTTTTTTAATTTCATTGGCTTTCCCACCCTTTTTACATGGTCAGGCGCCTGCATTTATTCGTAAACTATTACTTTGGTATCAGGAATAAAACTGAGCTGATTGTTCAGAAATCTGTTATCTTGCGAAGACGTTGATGTCTTCTTCATATCTGCATATCGATGTCAGACGCATATCTCTATAAAAACACACCTTTAGGCAGCAGAATGATGGCATGTTTTTTGCATGTGTGACAGATGAGATTGTGTGTTTGTGTGCGCTCATTTGTCGTCGAAATGTGTCATCCACCCACACTATCTCCGCAAAAAAATTGTTTGGAGACAAATTCATAACAACCTTGTTCCAAGGATGTGGGTTGCAGGGTGCTGAATTCTTGAGAAAACATGGTACAGAAAAAAAAGAAGAAAGCCAAATCTGGACAGTTTCCCAATTGCCAACCTGTGCACTTGCATTTTAATTTTAAAAATGTTTGCCAAGATGAAGCCAAGCCACCCTTGTAGATTTTAACTTGCTGGAAAGCCTTTTGTTATGGAACATTTAAATGTGCTTAAAACAAGCATATCGCAACTTTATAGTGTGTCGTGACTTCGTAATCACCCTCTTCACTGACTCGCATTAAAATAAATGACACGACAATTCATAAAAATTATGATAAACCAAATGTTTTTTTTTACCGAGTCATTACACGCATTATTACATCAGTGTTTTCCCCACAAACTTTAATACAAACTGCTCATTTGAGAATAATTTTCAGCTGAGATGATTCTTTTTGAAAACAAATTGATTGATTATGTTTATTTAGCGGTGGTCCAGTGGTTAGCGCGTCGACCTCACAGTGCAGAGGTCATGGGTTCGATCCTGGCTCCGGCCTTCCTATGTGGAGTTTGCATGTTCTCCCAGTGCCTGCGTGGGTTTTTTGCGGGTACTCCGGTTTCCTCCTACATTCCAAAAAAAAATGCATGGCAGGTTAATGGAACACTCTAAATTGTCCCAAGGTGTGATTGTGAGTGCGAATGTTTTTTCGTCTATGTGTGACCTGCGATTGGGTGACAACCAGTTCAGGGTGTCCCCCATCGACTGCCCAAAGACAGCTGGGATAGTTCTATGGCACGCCCGCGACCCTTGTGAGGATACAGCAGGTTGGAATATGGATGGATGGATGGATGTTTAATTCGTGCTCTGTGACCATCAGAAGAATATCGTAGTCATATTCCATGATGTCCAGATCATCATCTACTGTAGTTTCCAAATGGGCGTGATGTGTGTGAGCATGAAGATGACAGCATAAGAACAAGGTATCAGTGATGAATGTTGTTGGACCACGAAATACTTTTAGCAAATCAAGTCAAATCACTTCCATTAATCAACAAACATAAGAGGTAAAAAAAAAAATTCATAACAGATCAGTAATTACCCTTTGTAGACTTATGGGGTAAAATTATAATTAATCCTAATACGCTTCATCAGCTTTCGTTTTGGCTGAAAAGCTAAGTGATGTGTTTTTATGAAATACGGCGCCTCTACATGCGAGCCGCGCCAAAATGTGATTCATCTGCACAGTGCCAGCTCTTTCAGTGTCTGTCAAGGGTCAGAAATGAAACTTGAACTTTTGCAAGTGCGTGAGCGTGTGGCTTTATACTTCCTCATGCACAAGATTTTTATTCTAAACCGACACTGAATAGCTCATGGTCACGCAGCTTCAAATGTGTAGGGAATGCGACTGGAATGTTTTTTCGTCTATGTGTGACCTGCGATTGGGTGACAACCAGTTCAGGGTGTCCCCCATCGACTGCCCAAAGACAGCTGGGATAGTTCTATGGCACGCCCGCGACCCTTGTGAGGATACAGCAGGTTGGAATATGGATGGATGGATGGATGTTTAATTCGTGCTCTGTGACCATCAGAAGAATATCGTAGTCATATTCCATGATGTCCAGATCATCATCTACTGTAGTTTCCAAATGGGCGTGATGTGTGTGAGCATGAAGATGACAGCATAAGAACAAGGTATCAGTGATGAATGTTGTTGGACCACGAAATACTTTTAGCAAATCAAGTCAAATCACTTCCATTAATCAACAAACATAAGAGGTAAAAAAAAAAAATTCATAACAGATCAGTAATTACCCTTTGTAGACTTATGGGGTAAAATTATAATTCATCCTAACACGCTTCATCAGCTTTCGTTTTGGCTGAAAAGCTAAGTGATGTGTTTTTATGAAATACGGCGCCTCTACATGCGAGCCGCGCCAAAATGTGATTCATCTGCACAGTGCCAGCTCTTTCAGTGTCTGTCAAGGGTCAGAAATGAAACTTGAACTTTTGCAAGTGCGTGAGCGTGTGGCTTTATACTTCCTCATGCACAAGATTTTTATTCTAAACCGACACTGAATAGCTCATGGTCACGCAGCTTCAAATGTGTAGGGAATGCGACTGAATTACTGATCAGTCACTTTAATATACAGTATCCATCGATCCACCGACCGATTCATTGTTGCATCCATCAACACAGGATCTTACACGACATCTACCTTAAATCAGTAGCTTGTGACCTCACGCCTACCATGTCAAACATACTGTATATTTTATCGTGTCGGTAGCTATAAATCAGGGGTGTCCAAGATATTTTCATCGTGGCTCACAGCAGAGTTACTTTTGCCGTCCAGAGGGTTAAGGTTTCACCCTATTCTTATATGAACTCTTGCTCATAAATACATGGTTCAATTATTGTAGCTGGACCAACTAATTGATGGATAACTTGAAATGCAAAGTAAAGGGAAAATAGTGGCAAGCCATTCTTTGACTAGTAGGAATACAGCTATGATTTTAGTGGACAACAGGTGCAAACTCAATTGCTCACGCAAAGAGCTGTGGAAGTACTTGTGCTAGTGCTAGTTCCGGGCCACTGCCCAGATTAGCACCAGTTCTTTTATTTTCATCACCGGAATTGGCTGTAGATCTCGCTCTGGTGCTTGAAATGGGTGCTAAAGCTGGCCCCAATTATTTGTTTGGCCATAGTCGGAAGGCTGGGTGCATATTCACCCCGAAACTCCGAAGAGGACATGACACACAGACC